TGTAGAGTACAACTCTTCTAATTTATTCCATGTTGCAGATATCGAAAGTTCTCCAGTAATTTCACCCAGAATATTATCAGTCATGCATATGAAAATCACCCACAAAGCTATCTTTCGAGTCTATTTTGTCAGTTTCTTTCATACCCTCTAGAAATTTATTCTCAATTGTCTTCTATAAACCTTATAAATCATGGATAATTTCATTCCAATCTTTCACAAACTAAAATTCATTTCACTATCAAACTTTTTAACCTAATACTTTGTAGAAGATGAAGATGCCATCTAGAAACCCTAAAATATGCGCAAAGCTAGAGCAAAGGGAAACACTGTTGCACGGTGCGCAATCATCGCCATGCGCAGGAGCAGAAACCACCGCCATGCGCAGGAGCAGAAACCACCGCCATGCACAGAGAAAAAACTATTGCGCAAAAACACTACCATTGCAAGTGCAGAAACCATCTCTTGCACTTGCTATGAAACGCAAGGCAACCACTCGCATAAGGAAAACACCGTCGCACTTGCTGTGAAACACAAGGTCATCGTACTGTGAAATGCAAGGTCACCATGCACATAAGAAAACACTGTCGCACTCGCTGTGAAATATAAAACCATCGCGCGCACAGGAAAACCACCACTAATTTGTCTTCGCATGTTTGGCCTCCGCCTTCTAGTTGCATCATTGGCCGAATAAAATTTTAGCACCAATTGGTGGCGACTAGATTTTCCTTGCAAGGTCACCATGCACATAAGAAAACACTGTCGCACTCGCTGTGAAATATAAAACCATCGCGCGCACAGGAAAACCACCACTAATTTGTCTTCGCATGTTTGGCCTCCGCCTTCTAGTTGCATCATTGGCCGAATAAAATTTTAGCACCAATTGTTGTTCTATTATGTAAGATACTCGTAATAACATTCTTATCACGTGGTAGGCTATAATTGAATGTACAAAAAATATTAAGTAAAATACTTTAGTGTCATGACTCATATTTGCGAATAAATCGGCGGACTATCACTCCGGTCCCGCATAATGTTTAACGCCCCATCTACAAAAAGAAGGGTATAACACGAGGACTTTCTAGGAGGTCAGTCATCCTAGTACTACTCTGGCCAAAGCACGCTCAATTGTGGAGTTCTGATGGGATCCGGTGAATTAGTGCTGGTATGATCGCACCCGTTCCATTTCACGTTGTAAATATATATACCCCTTCTCATTCCCTCCCGCCTACCGTCATTTGTTTCACTATGCACGCACATTGCACCTTTGCTTTTAGTTCTAATATATAGAGAAATACCCCGGTGCCTCGACTCATGCCCAGATGAATAGACTTCCCGCTGCACCTCTATTTTCATTGTTCTACTATGTAAGATACTCATAATGACAATCTTATCACGTCGTAGACTATAAATGAATCCATAAAAAATATTAAGCAAAATACTCCAGCACTGCGACTCACGCTGGTGGACTGTGGCTCCAGTCCAGTGTAATGTTTAACGCCCCGTTCGCAAAAAGATGGGTGAAAAATGAAGACAAATAGGAGGTCACACCTATGCATAG